GAAAAAAGAAAACAATAAATAATTAAACAAGAATTTGGTTATCAGTATCAGATTTTACTGTTGGCCACTGAGAAACTTGTGTCTCGTGAGACCTGTAGTTAGTAGCTATTGAGGTTTTCTCTGGTTGGCACCTTTGATGTAGAATTGGCCAGGAAAATGCAAGTTTAATCTTACATTGCAAGAATTGAATATGAACAATTCTTTTATAAAGTATGTATGAACTCTGCTAGTAGACTGTATCATCTGCACTGTACACAGATAATGTAAGATAATTTGGATGTTTACCATCTTGTCTGGAGAGTTACTTTTTTGTGGTAATTATGTCAGCTAGAATGTTCAACTGAAACACTTTGAAGTTCTATTATAAATAACTGATTTTGTTAATTCTTATCATTTTATTTCTTATTTTCAAATAAAAACTGTTTTCTGTAAGCTTCTTATTTTATGTGTTGATCTTTGAAAAAAATTTCTTTCCTTCCAGAAAGAGAAATACCATACTCACTTAGCTGTTCTATACCTTGAAAATATTTTGAGGTTAAGAAAAAGTCAAAGTATTGATCCTATAAAGGTCACTGATGCCAGGTAAGGTCAGATATTTCAGTTACATCTCAGTTAATTTTTATTTTGACAGTGGTAAACAGATAATATCAGTTAGCTAATCTGAATGTGGATCTTATGTCAAATTTATGTTTTATAATCAAAATTTATAGATATGTGGATTTTTTGTTTTGATGAGAGATGCCTTATTTTAGATAATCCAATACAACTTTTTTACATGTTAACTAAGTAACAAAAATGAAAATAGCAGGTTACATGGTGTCATTTTTCTTTATGTACATATTTCCCATTGAGGATGTTAAACAACGTTTATTTTAAGCTTTAGTTATGCTTAAAGGCCAAGATTAGCAATAGGCTAGTTAGAATGGTCAGTGTTGCTTCTACGTCACTTGGCCATTGTTGTCAAAACCAGTCCAAGGGTTGTGGTCAGTGTTGCTTAGTCAAGCAATAGAACTTGATCATTGTTGTTAAAACTAGCCTTAGGTTAGTGGTCACTGTTGCTTTTATGTCATTTGATCAAGTGACAGAACTTGGTCATTGTTTTCAAGGGTAGTGGTTAGTTGTTTTATGTTGTTTGTTTGAATGACAGAACTTTGTTTAGGTCAAGAGCAGCCTAATATTAGTGGTCATTGTTGTGCTTAAAAGTCTAGATCAGTCCAAGGGCATTATTCATGGTCACCAGACCCCAGTGGCTCAGCAGTAATTCTTTAAGCTTATTCTGCTGAAACTGAGTTTCTGTACCCATGGTGTGCATAGTACGGATAACCCACAATGCAGTTTTATGCTTAACATCAAAATTTTACAAAATCATGGTTACAAAGTATCAATGTTGCTTTAATTTTTTTAACTTGAATAAATCTTAAAACTTGGCCCTTATTGTGCATAAACGCAAAATAATAAAATAGATTGAGTTCTAGTTTTAAACTGAACTCAAGATGATTTGAGGTTAATGATCATAGTAACACGAAGTTCAGAGTTTTAACCCAAACTGGTTTACTTAATATCACTAATTTCTGTTTTTGTTTTTAAATTTCATTTGACTTGGCTTGATAGGAATAATTAGGTATAGACAACAGTTCTAGTTTGCCACATGTTTTTATCAACTCTTTTAATTAATGTCTTACTCTAAGTACACATCTTTTGTGTTTGATGTGGTAGAGTTTCAGGTCAGAATATTTCATCCTAATTTGGATAACAGAGAGGTTTTAGTACATTTCTAAGAACTGTATTAAAAATTCTAACATTTGTACTTTTAGTACAAATGTTGTACCATTGTTGGTCTGTGTGTTTTTTAGGAAGAAGTTACAACATCTACTTCATTTTTCATCTGCCTATCGTGTGCAACTCCTCTTAGGAAAAGCTCTGGAGAATAATCTTCATGCTGAATGTGCAATTTTATATGGAAAGGTAAGAGTTGTTATGTCAGTACCATCTTTATGTGTAAAGGTAAGAGTTGTTATGTCAGTACCATCATTATGTGTAAAGGTAAGCATTGTTATGTTGATGTGATCTGTATGTGTAAAAGGTAAGCATTGTTATGTTGATGTGATCTGTATGTGTAAAAGGTAAGCATTGTTATGTTGATGTGATCTGTATGTGGAAAGGTAAACATTTTATGTCAGTACCATCTTTATGTGTAAAAGGTAAGCATTGTTATGTTGATGTGATCTGTATGTGGAAAGGTAAGCATTTTATGTCAGTACCATCTTTATGTGGAAAGGTAAGCATTGTTATGTCAGTACCATCTTTATGTGGAAAGGTAAGCATTGTTATGTCAGTACCATCCTTATGTGGAAAGGTAAGCATTGTTATGTCAGTACCATCTTCATGTGGAAAGGTAAGCATTGTTATGTCAGTACCATCTTTAAGTGTAAAGGTAAGCATTGTTATGTTGATGTGATCTGTATGTGGAAAGGTAAGCATTGTTATGTCAGTACCATCTTTATGTGTAAAGGTAAGCATTGTTATGTTGATGTGATCTGTATGTGTAAAGGTAAGCATTGTTATGTTGATGTGATCTGTATGTGTAAAAGGTA